GAAGAATCCATTTATTGAAAAGAAACAAGGAGGTGGAGTGGGGAATAGTACAATCATAGATTCGCATATGTCCTGTCTGGTGTGCTGTGCAGTGAGTGTTGCACTTCAGGACAGCTATACTGCATGGTGATGGGGGTTGAGTGCAGAGGGTTTCAGGGCTGGGTGGTGAAGATACTGGTGTTGGAGGCAGCGGGTGGCATGAAGAACATGGAAGTTGAGGAAAGTGGGTTGGAGATGACAGTGGGGCACAACGGAAAGAGTTTTGGGACAAGGGCTGTGGGGGGGGGGGTGTTTGCGGTACTGCTCCTCTTTCTGCATGGCTACCAGCTCCTGGATAGCTTCTGCTTGGCGCTCCAGGATGCTTATGAGCCTATCAGTGCTTTGCTGCCGGTGCGTGCTTCTTTGCCGCCGGTGCGCTGCATTTTCCTGGCGGATCCTGCTTTCTCTCTCCCTCCAGTCCTGTGCTTTCTCATTCTCTTTAATAGATTGCTGCATCACTTCTTGCAGCATATCTTCTTTGCTTTTTCGCGGTCTCTTCCTGAGTCTTTGCAGTCTCTGAGCACGCAATAAGAGGGATGGCTGAGGTCTCAAGGTTGATGCAGCTGTATAGGCAAAATGCAACATTTAACAGAGGCAGCATTGTTTATACCAGACAGAGTAATGATTCCCCCCCGCACTTAAGGAGTAGAAAACACACAGGGTCTACACAATAGCATAATTTTCCCGTCCGAAACAGAGCACACACATCCCACCGGAGCCTCAAAATGGTGAGTAAGAGGGATTGATTGTTTCAGGGCTGCACTGTCCTCTGGGTTTCTGTACCTTGGGGAGAGCCAACAGCTTCAGGGGGCACCTACACTGAACACTGTCCCAACATTTTCCACAGGAGTTCGTCCTGGACGATATCTCGCTGTTGAGGGTGACCTGGGAAGCAAGGGAGGGTCTTCTACTGCAATGCCACTTCCGCCCTGGCCCATATGCAGCTTACCTGTGTGCAGAAATGGTTCCCCCGCCCCTTGCGCACAGTGGCGCGGACACGTTAGTCTGGCTGGGACAAGGACCCCGGTGGCTCTCCCGATAAACCTGCGCAAGCACATTGCACACGTTCTGGATGAGACATTCGAGGAGATTACCGAGGCCGATTACCGTGATGTGATAAACCACGTCAGTGCACTATTCTGCATCTAGGCATGCATGCCTAACCCTCCTCTCCCAAAGAGCCCGCACCGAAAAAAATTCCTTCCGGGAAAAAAAAAAAACCCACTTACCTGGAACCTGCTCTTCTGTTTGTCCTCCACCAAGTACCAACCGCTGCGACTGGCTACCTTACTCCTGGCTCGAGAAGAGCTCCTGGCTGCATGGCTCCAGGGATTCCGGGGTGTCTCCATCTGGCCCACCACCATCGCTCCCGTTTTCTTCCTCCTCCTCTTCCTCCCCCCCGCGACCGGCTCTGAAGGGTCCATGGTGGTGCTCAGAGTGGAGGTGGGGTTAACCCCAAGTATCACATCCAGCTCTTTGTAGAATCGGCAGGTTGCGGGGGGAGCACCCGAGCGGCCGTTTGCATCACGGGCTTTGCGTAAGGCACTCTGCAGCTCCTTCACTTTAATCCTGCACTGCGGGGTGTCCTGGTCATGGCCCCTTTCCATCATGTCCTTTGATACCTTCCCGAAGGTATCGTAATTCCTACGGCTGGAGCGCAGCTGGGACTGTACAGCTTCCTCCCCCCAAACAGTGTTGAGGTCCAGCAACTCGCCATTGCTCCATGCTGGGGCTCGCTTGGCGCGTGGAGGCATGGTCACCTGGAAAGATTCGCTGATAGTACTCCACGCTGAGCAAACAGGAAGGGGATTTTTAAAATTCCCGGGGAATGTGAAGGGTCGGTCACATGGTTGGTTACCTGAGGCCAGGGCAGTAGAGGTTGAACTGATGACCAGAGTGGCTAGAACAGGCATTGTGGGATACTGTTGAATAATTCTGGAGGCCATTCACAGCGCATTGGGCGACCACATTGACGCTGCAGCGGCAGCACAATACTCGCTATTCCTCTGGGAGAGGTGGAGTACATGCAGCGCTGCAACCACGGAGATACAGCGCTGCAAATGCCTTGCCAGTGTGGTCGGGGACTGAGTTACAGTGCTGGGGGAGCCTTTACAGCGCTGTAACTCGCAAGTGTAGCCAAGGCCTCAGACGCCAAGGAATACTGCCTAAACAGTCTATGTAGTCAGCTTGAGTTTTGTTGCTGAAACTGAATGATTTTTGATGGATTTTGTTTTTATGTGTAGAAACAAGTTTTCTTCAGAACCATCCAATTTTAAGGAGATATTTCTTGTTTTGAATATGTGGCTTATGATTTTCTCCTCACAATAGTTTTAATTAATGCTGACAATACACTTGTTACTGTAATGCATAAACCTAAATAATGGTGCTTGGTGCCAACTATACTGCAAGGATTTTTTGTGTTAATTGCATTTTATGCCTTGCAGCCTAAATTTCAAGGATCCAGAAGCTGTGAGAGCTCTGACATGCACTCTCTTGAAAGAAGACTTTGGACTTACAATTGATATACCATTAGAGAGGCTCATTCCTACTGTTCCCTTGAGGCTTAACTATATTCATTGGGTGGAAGATCTAATTGGCCATCAAGATGGTGATAAACAA